GCTTGCCGTTGTGGTAAAATCCGTACGGGCGGGCCGTCCTGCGGCGCCTGGGGGAGGTAGCTGGAAGCGCTGTTGCAGTACCCTGTGCAGGAAATACATCCCTTGTGGCTCTAGCTACGCGATCTCTTTTTTTCGTGAAGGAGACTTTAAGGAAGACTTTAAGAAACTTTAAGAAGAGGAGGCTGAGGGGAGACCTTATTGCTCTCTACAACTCCCTGAAAGGAGGTTGTAGCGAGGTGGGGGTCGGTCTCTTCTCCCAGGTAACAAGCGATAGGATGAGAGGAAACGGCCTCAAGTTGCGCCAGGGGAGGTTTAGGTTGGGTATTAGGAAAAACTTCTTCACCGAAAGGGTAGTCAAGCACTGGCACAGGCTACCCAGGGAAGTGGTTGAGTCTTCATCCCTGGAGGTATTTAAAAGACATGTAGATGTGGTGCTTAGGGACATGGTTTAGAGGCGGACCTGGGAGTTATGTTAACGGTTGGACGCGATGGTCTCAGAGGTCCTTTCCAACCTTAACGATTCTGTGATTCTATGAATGTCTGTAGTCAGCTGTTCGTGACTTCTGTTATTTCACACGTCTTATTAAGATGAACGTGTATTTCCATGACGAATGAGAAAATGTGGCTTCCACTGAGAATCCTCTGGACTAATCTGGTACCAAAGTGGCTCCAGTAAGTCTGAAAACCCATATGCCTCCAAAACTGGTATTTTGGCGCTCACTCTTGTTGCTGTCATCAGAAAAACATCTCTTTGTAGGTATAGATGGAAGTTTTAATTGATTTCCTACATATTTGTTTGTAAATTCAGGCAAGGTTTGCGTCAAGATACTTTTTGTAAATGCACAACGTGATGAGGAGCTAAGGGAAAACAGGCCTATGCTGGCTATACTACCTATATTTGCCACTGTGTTATGTAAACACCATACTCAAAAATGAAGACTAAACAGTTGGGAAAAATTACATGTAAAAAGTAAGAAAAGTTCCATGGTTGTATGTTGGCAATTGTTATCTGTAAAAGGAAGCACTGTGTGCAAACACAAATTTTGTTTTAATCAGCTACGTGAGTGTGATTATCGCTGAACACTCAGCTGTTGTTAAGAGTTGATAGAGTCTTTAGATCTTGCCGTATAAATGCTCTCATCTGTAACAGGCCACTGTATTAGGTCTTAGGATACATTATGATAGCCTAAACATCTTATTTTTACTTTTCTGAAGGAATACCTATTACCAGTGCATCGTATTTTGCCACCATGACGCTTGACCAAGTTAGGCACGTATTTCGCTCTGACACAGAAGTGCCCATACCTTTGATTGAAGAAAGACATCGGGTGCTGAATGAAAGCGGAACAGTTCTGTTAGAGAAGTTCGGAGGCTCTTTCCTCACCTGTGTTAAAATGAGTGAGAAAAGTGCTCAGAGACTACTACGTCTAGTACTGGAAAATTTTCCTTCTTACAGAGACGAAGCTGTATTTGAGGTAAGCTAGTTATAACATTAAATTTCTTATGATAAGAATTTACTCCCTACTGGTTGTGACTTCAAAAGATAGCTCTTAGATTGTCTACCTAAATTTTTCTGAGAGGATAGTCAGTTCAGAATTTATCTTAATATTTGTGAATTGTTGGGGTTTTTAATCCAGGAAATGGAAGGTGAACAGAAATGTTTCTGTGGAACTCAGTGTATTCACAAGTAAAATTCAAGGGAAATAAGAAGGAAAATTACTATTAGTTTAATATTTTTGTCTCAAATCAGTAAAGATATTGGTCTGTATAATGAAAGGAAAATCAGACTTTGAAGCAGTTGATCTTAATTATGAAAATTGCTGAGTTATACAGATAGGGAAGGTTTTTTAAATAATACTCTTGGACCACAATATACTTTTTGTTAAGCTGCGGTAAAATTACTGAGATTTCATTCCTCTGTCAGTCTAAACCTCTGAAAACAAAATCACACAATTTATTCACAGTAAAAGAATCTTGACTGTCTTAACTATCAGGAATGTATTTCTAATGGTAAGAGTCACCTTTTTCCCCAGAGGAGAGCCATCTTTTTCATATGCTGTCTCTGTCTTCATCACTCTTTTGTAATTTATTTTGATATACTCCAACCGCCCTTGAATTGCTACCTCTCTCCTCCCCCATCTCTCTTTCTTCTTTTACCTTGAGGATCTCTGCAGCTGATGCAGAGGAATGAAGGAAATGAAACTCTGGTAGAACTGTGGACACGTACAGCTACTGGGAATCCACACTCTAACTGTTGTTGATTCAACAGGCGTTGCACAAATGACTACAGGCCAGAATTAACTCATACTTTTGGCAGGGCTGACAGAGTACTGAAGCTTTTTGGAGCCGTTTTCCTGAAAGAAACTGATGGGAAGTAAACAGAGACTATCTGGTGTTTTCTGTGTCTCTGGTTTCCCCTATACAGGCATGATCTTTATTTAGCATCAGTGACATATGTGTCTGCTCCTGTGCTCAGTTCCATCTGCAGAAGTATTCAGCTGTTACATTCTTATGTTCAAAAGACTTTATTCTAGTGACAGTGCAGCCTACGGTAATGGTCTGTGCAGTCTTTGCAAGGTAACTCCCTGGAACACCAGTGACTGGAGCTTTGAACCTATTGCATTTGTCGCCGAAATCTGCCCTTCAATGGGTGGCATGATTTTATTTTCCTTTGTCTCCTGCTATGAAGTATGATATGTTTATATGAAAAATCAGAGTTTCTTTCTAACTAATATTTGAAGCTATTCGTTTAATTATTAGGATTTTTTTACATATAAAGTAATTTTTTGACAATTTTTATGATCAAAAAGGAAATATTTTCCAAGTAAAGTGATAAATAGAGTATTTACTTATCTTTATAGTGACTGTATTCATTGACGTAATGTCTTTCATGAGATGATGCTGAGTGCTTTATAAAGCAAGCCTCCCTAAAAGCAGCAGCAGACTACAGAATGAAAAGATGTTCCAAAAATGATCCCAGACCGTATGCACTGACATAGTAGTAAAGCCTGTTGCATGAATATGGAAGCTGTTTTTCTGCTTTCACTAAGCAAGATGTGTATTTTGAAGTTGGGTGAAATAATGTAGACCAAGTTTACGCCCTACTTGCACCTAAGGTGAGGTGACACAGATCACAATATCAGCAGCATTTCTATCGCAGCAGGTTGAGTTCTCACAAGTAAGACTTTGCCTTCAATAAAGGGTTAGGAAGAAACTGAAAAGATGGTGAAATATCCAAGAGCAAACTGTTTTTCAGTAACTCTCCATAATAGAAATATATATGATTATAAAAAAAATTCTGTGGTAGAATCCTACTGTCACAGACTACTACAGCTCTCCTACATTCTGAGCTTCTAGGGAAACTTCTAACATTAACACAGTTGTCTGGCTGTGTGTTTTTCCAAACACATACACAAAATGTTTTTTCATAATTACACGTAACTGAAAGTAATTACAGAAGTTGCCAATCTTCTTTTGCTTCTGAAAAGTTAATGGCAAACCAAAACCAAAATCCCCTTTTCGCCCTTGGGTGGATAGTTCATATTTAGATGCTGTGCTGAATTTGAATCCTGACAGAAGTTTAAATATTAGACTATGTTCTACTTGCATATCAGGGTTTTCATGTTCTGACATAGACGCGTTGGATTCCTTTCTGAGCTTCCAGTCATTGATGTTGTGTGTATTTATCTTTTATTTCCCATCACCTGGGACCGAGGTTGTAAAATTCTCATGATCCTCCTGTTCTTTGCTTGTTTTACTAGCTGTGCTATCACATTTTGCTCTTTGCCAACACAATACACCATCCTTCTTTTAATAGCAGGAGGTTATAATTAGTTATGTCTCTTGATACTGGCTCATTGTAGTGGAGAGGAGACACAAGTGTCCCTGTATGTGGTAGCTTTTCCTGGAAAGTGAAGGTCTTGCAGGAAAAAAAAAGAAGTGTAGTTGTATTGCCATCTGGTAAAGTGTTCCAATTTTGGACAAATGATACTATCTTTGAGACATAGTATCACCCACCTAATGCTTTCCTTGCTTTCTGTTGGAAAGAAAAGTGGGAAAATTTACTGGGAAAGCTTAATAGTCTTTTTCATATTGAAAATTTTACATAAACTTCAGAAGCTCTGTGCGGCATAAAATTAACCATAATTGAAACAATGGAATTATAAATTCATCTGCTCAATGACAAGTCCCAGATGGTATTTTTCTTCCAAACTAAATTGCAGCGTGTGATGAAAAGTTCCATTTGAATTCTCCCTTCCTCTGCTCTTGCAAGACGGTGTGGTGCTGGAGACAATCAGTTCTTTACTATGTTGGAAAAATCTTAATGCTATAAAAGGGCGATGTCCTTGGTTTCCATTAGCTTTGGGGCAGTAGGAGGTATGATGGGTTTTAGCCTATTAATTATTTACTTCTTTTTATTGTTTAATATAAAAAATTGTGTATGTTCTCCAGAAGTAAGTCTGTGCATCTACGTCAAGTATAGGATGAAGCACAGGGAAAGAAGGAGTTTTCAGGATGTTTGCAGAAGTTGTTCTGTGCAATGTGGTTGGACATCTTGTTCCCAGTGTTTCTGGAGAATAGCATTTAATGACAAAAAATACGCTTTGCTCTCAGGGCTGGTAGCATCTTAGCAATAAAGTAAAATTAAATTAGCTTAAAAAATGCCATTTGTAAATGGTGGTGATATGAAGGGTAGCAGAATAAAACTGGAAATAAGTTGGATCTCCACCTGCTTGTATTTCAGATTAACCATTCCAGTTACATATTGTTGTTTAGCACATGTTGTCAAAAGTCGAAAATCTCATCTAGCTATAAAGGGAGGGGAAAAAACATAGCCCACAAATACCTCTTTTTCTTAAAGATGCAGATTTACATTCACACATTGTGTTCATCATAGAGTGAAAACCTCAACAGCATACAGGTCGTAGCATATCTTTAGTTTTTCCCCTCATGAGTGGTCACAAAACATGTAAATCTTTGCAGGATTAGCACCAGCAAAAAAGTTTATGACAAAAATAGAACCATGCATAGTATCTAAGAAAATCTCATATACATCATCTACTGGAATGAATTTTCCTCTCTCCTCCTTAACTAGCAAGATACACTACACAACAGAGGAGCATTCAGTAAAGTTTTCACTAGAATTCTATTTCCTTAATGTTACAGATAAAGTGATTAACAAAATGTTTTAATTGTCTAATCCAATACATGCCTTTTATGGTTCTCTCCTTGAAACAAAGGGTTGGATGAACTCTAGGGTTCCTGAAAGAATTAATGTTTATTGGACTCCAACTACAGTGTTTACCAAGTGGAAGTAAACCAACATTAATGTGTTCTGAGGTCCAAGTGGAATCTAAACAATTTTTATTCCACTGCAGTGACTTCTATGTTTTTCTTTTATTTCAATTTATTTATGAGCATTCCATATGATACTTGTTTGTGGTTCAATATTGTTTAGCTTTCAAGGTGTTTAAGAGTGTTGCACTTTTACTCTGTTTTAGTTAACTAATATGTTTGCTTAACCAAATGATAGTTTTATATTTCATAGAACAATGTAACTCTTACCTGTCTCTCTCTGTACATGTCATTTGCTGTATGTATTGATGTTTCAGCCACTTAAGTAATTTGTAAATTTCTTTCATCAGAAAAAAAAGGTGTCTTTCTACAAACGAGCACAAATACTTGTGGCTGATACATGGAGTGTATTAGAAGGCAAAGGAGATGGCTCTTTTGATGACATTTCTAGTCTGACTATATTTGCTGACTACAGAATTCCTCAAGTTCTTGTTCACTTAAAAGCAATGAAGTATTCTGAAGAACTAATGAAGAAACTACGTGAAGGTTTGTTCCTCCGGTACTAATATCAAGTAATCTTACCTCTTGACGTAGTAGACTAAGCTACTTTTAAAATGTACTGTTTTATCCATTTAAGGGTTATGTGTACTACTTTTTTTTTTTTTTTGCTCCAGGGAACAAGCACTTCTTATGTAGTGATGAAGTAACAGGAAGGAACTTATTCTCTAACAATGATCTTGAATGAGATCTTAAGGTTACGTTTTTATAAAGATCTAACCATTCCTTGGATTAAACATTGATAAGGGAAGGTTTAAAGACACTCTAAGCCAGTTGATCTCCAAGTTCCTGAAGGGCTGCTATTGCAAAAAAAACCAACCACTTTTCAGCATGAGTATAGTTGTGATTTTTGAGGTTTAGATAAAAGAAGCAATGATTTCTTCATTAGTTCAAAGATGATGTAAAAGCATGGGGATTCTTCTATATTTGTACTGAACTGCTAGTGGCAGGGGAGGGAATAAAATAAACATCCATTAAAAAAAAAAGATTGGTTTAAATGAAGTTAATTGCATCAGACTAGACTCTCGTTTTTAAGCATGGTTCCATCTTCCAGTACTTATTAACTGTGAACTTCAGTGAATAAAAACATAAACCAATCCCTGCTCCACTGTAAAATGACTGTATTTAAAGGTAGGACTGCTATTATGCAATTTTAAAATTACACAGCAAGATAAACAGGTGAATGCAATCGTCCATGGATCTTAATAGAATGGCTGTATATATGTATGCCTGTCTATATATTAAATAGATCATGTAGACAATTTATCTTTTCCATGAACCCTAATGAGGACATTTCCATCCAAGTAATTCAAACAAATGGGTCCCTTTATATTTTTATATATATAGGTTTTGGTTTTTATTTTTAGTTTTTAAATCTTAGAGTTATCCTGGCAGAAAATACACTGTCTTGGAATTACGTTCGACTATCCTTTTTGTCTCCACAAGCAAAGAAATAGTCATGTAATGTGCAGTACAGCCCAAACACCTGTTCTTTTCTTAAACTACTCTGTTGGAATACAGGATGTTGTTTTAATTGAATGGGAGGTAAATGTATAAGTGCATATGGTAAAATTACAGCAGTCATTAGAAAATGTGTAGCAACATTGTTAGCAGTTGTCACATAAGTTGTGAAAACTGCTGTCCTAGAATAGAATAAGTGTTGAGGGGAAAAAAACCAGCAAATTCGGGCTTTTCTGGGGCTTCTGTTTCTTGAACATAATTGGATTGCTGTCCCTTGTGTCCTGCAGGAACAATTTTCCAGTCCGGAGATAAAGAGGAGGTGGAGATCCGTGGCTGTTCTATTTGGTGTTGCGCGTTGATTTGTAAGCACCTGCTGGAGCTCTACGAGAAGAAGGGTCAGGACATGCGTGAGAAGATCAACGCGGTTTTACTCGATTATTATCTTTGGGACTATGCCAGGGACCACAGGGAAGAGATGAAAGATACTCCGTTTCACCGAGTGCGCTGTATATATTACTGAGTCCAGTCCGATAGCTGTTGCATTGATGCGTTATCTTTTGCATTGCTGTTATTCTTCTCGCGCGGTGGTTCATCGTGTACCAGTTTGGAACCGGCTCAATCAAGTGCTCATTTTCTGATGATGTATTAACAACTCGCTGCTTTTTTTTT